TCCCGAGAGTTTCCTCTCAACGGCTGGCTTTTCTCACAAATAGATCACCAGGCCTTTTCCAAAGACACTGTTTCTCTGGAAGACCCTTGGGATGTTAAGCAGCCCCCATGCCCTCCCCGATCCAGATATCAGGAGCCCAGGATTCTGGCCACAAATCTGTTCTGTGACCTCAGGTTATTATTTACAACCGAACAGACTCCGTGCTTGCATCTGTAAAATGATGGCGTGAAAGAAATGTTGAATGCTGCCTAAAGATCTACTGGCTCTCTTAGGTGTGGTGATTCTAGAATCAGGAGGTGCAGAATTGATTAGTCTCGGAGGTGAGTGCAGTTGGGAAATGGAGACGTTTGGTCTTCCCCAGCTGTGAGCTCTGGAATCATCTCCCTTATCTTTGTATCCTTCAGCTGGCCCTCAGGATTTGAGATCGGTACCTGAAGGTCAACCAGAGCTCCTCCTGGGTCTTTTGAGTCTCTGCCCACCTCAGACCTCTATGCCGGGCTGACCCAAGACCTTCACTGCCACAGGGGTCACAGGAAGGGAGAGAAGTGCCTGAGACAGGCGCTCGACATCGGAGACTACAAACAATGTCAATGATTATTATTTTTTTTAAATCTCCTGCTCTACTAGTTTGTTTGTTTTTTTCTTTTTAATTTTATTGTGGTGAAAAGGCATATACCAAAACATGCGATCTCAACTGTTTCTACAGGTATAATCCAGTGATACCAACTACGTTTTTCCATTCATGCGACTGTAGGATTGCCGCTGTCCCATGAATTTTTGTTGTTTGTTGTCGAGAATATCCACAACGGACACCAGTTCAACAGTTTCTACATGAGCAATTCAGTGACAATGATGACCTGCTTCAAGCTGCATGATAGTCTCACTGTCCTTTTCTGAGTGGTTCTCCCCCAGTAATATGAGCCCCCTGCTCCCTGGGGTTCCTCTCTAATCTTTTGAGTTGCTGTTGTCAATTGGACCCCTTATAGATAGTTCTCTAACGGCACAGTGGTCAAGACACACTTTTCACGAGTTCAACTATTGCAGGGCAGTGAAAAAAAGGAGGAAGGCTCTCAAGGAGCTCCATGGACACAGTGGCTCCAAGAATGGGCTCAAACTTAATAATTGTGAGGATGGCGCCGACCTGGTGGTGTCTCGTCCTGCAGTACATAGACAGGGTTGCTATGAGTTGGAACCAACTTGGTGGCATCAAAAACACATCGGTTTCAGGAATTCCTCAGGGAATGTTTTTAGCTTAAAGATGATTTCAGCGCAGTCCTTTCAGGGGCCATGCAGCCTTCCTGGCCCTAGAACGTCTGGAGTCCATAGGAATGTGAAATTCTGTTCTGCGTCTTCTCCCTTTATTGAATCCTTGATCAAAATGTTTGGTAATGGCAGCTGGGCGTCATCCAATTCTGAGCTGTGGGCGAAGAGGCGGTTGTGGAGGCAATTAGCCCCACATTCCATAACCTGTGTTCCTAACTCTCCTTCCACTGCTGCCCTAGGCAAATAGAGACCAATTGCTGTCGGCTTTTAAGAGCCCAGCACTATGCCACAAGACTGGGAGACGGATGAGAAGCACTGATGTGTACCAGGCCATCTAAAGGAATCTCGGGTGAGGGTGTGGGTTACGAGTCCAAGGTCACCTCTAGGTGCTCTTCGGGAGAAAGTGGAGGCGTTCTACTCGTTTGAAGATTTGCGATGGATCGTGGAAGCTCACCAGAGCGGTTTTACTGGATCCTCTCGAGTCTGTGAGCCAGACTTGTCTCGATGCCAGTGAGTGTAGCGGTACCTCACCCGTTTTAATGATGGTCCAGCTCTGGACGTCTCGATTCTGGGACCATTGAGTAGTCAAGAACTGATGACAAGATGTTGGCAGTGGGGACAGAGGAGGTCCATGAAAAGACAGACGGAATAATAGTGTCTGTGACGCACTGATGTGCTGGTGCGTGTCTAATTGTGGTGGGAGCCATGATTTGTCGTATGGGCCGACTACTATGGTACAAATATCACAGTGGCTCGTTTTCAACTACCAGTGTGGACTTGGGAAGTGA